AGTCTCTTCGGGAGAAACTTAACTTTTAAGCAAATGAGTGTCAATAAGGAGAGGAAAAGTTAGGGTTAAATCTCTGGATTTTTAGTTGAGGGTGGGGGACGCGAATATGTCAAAGAAGCTGATGCGGTAAAATGTAAGCATATCAGCATGGAGTTGGGGGGGGGGAAGAAACAGCACGGTGGGCGTATTGTTGGCTGGGAAGTCTCTTCGGGAGAAACTTAACTTTTAAGCAAATGAGTGTCAATAAGGAGAGGAAAAGTTAGGGTTAAATCTCTGGATTTTTAGTTGAGGGTGGGGGACGCGAATATGTCAAAGAAGCTGATGCGGTAAAATGTAAGCATATCAGCATGGAGTTGGGGGGGGGGAAGAAACAGCACGGTGGGCGTATTGTTGGCTGGGAAGGGAGAAAAAGATGTATAATTTAATGGTATACAGAATCCACTGATCCTATTACTATCCTCCCAGGAGCTCTTGTTAGTTTCAATGGGAGTCAGTGAAATTGACATGGACTTGTATTGGTGGTCATGTGTTCTCTCTCTCTCTCTCTCTACCCCCTCCCCCTTTCTTCTCTTGTGATCTGAGATCCCCTTTTTGTTGATGTTGCTTTCCCACTTAATTATATGCATGTAGGTTAAATGAATACCTGACGAAAGGGCCCACGTTTCAAGGCAGTGACATTTGATAGCTGAGAGGAAAAGTGGCTTTAATGAAAAGCAACCTTTGGAATTCCTGCTTGTGAGGAGGAGGAGGAGGAGAAGAAGAAGAAGAAGAAGAGGGGGAAAAAATCCAATTCAGCTTTTTTTGTGTGTTGCCAGCAAGAAATGATCAGCAGCACCAGTGTTTATGGTATGTCTGTTTTGGGATCTACTTCTTCCTCTCTGTCTCTTCTAAAATGCATTGAGATGATGGTTTTAGAAAAAGCATGATTAAAATCTCTAAGGACTTTACATGTGGTTACAGCTAGCAATAACTGTTTGATATTAATGGTAAAAGCTTCCCAATGTATAAATAAGCCACCGGGGTGTGTGTATGTGTGTGAACGGTGTTGTCCTGCTTTTGCTTTGATTGTAGTGTTACTTTTTGTTCTCGGCTGCAAACCCAAAGTTGCATGTTACTAGTAATGCCCTGTGTACACTCAATGTAGTATGTAAATTAGTAAACTCGCTGACTGTAAAAAGGGGGAGGGGAGAGACATGTACACATCGGTGCCTATACACATACTTGGCTGGTGTTTTTATCCGTTGTTTCTGTACAGTTCAGATAATATTCATCTGCCTACTTTTTCTGATGGATTTTTAGTCCAGGAGAGAAGAATAACGGGCTTCATAATGAGTGCAATAACCAGTTCTCTCCCCTGGCTCCCCTCCCCCCCCCACCAGTTTTTAATAATGGCCTGTATATTTTCTGTCCTCTTTTTTCCTTACGGCTGCTTCTCCGTGCTGTCTTGCACAATGTGATGGTCAGGAGCTGAGGCAGACTTTTAAAATTATGGGAAGATGATGCATTATTTTAAAAAATAGAGGTGAGGAGGGTAGTTTGGTGAAACAGTGCAGGGAAGATGTCAACATATCTTTCAGATGCGCTGTGCCCAAGTCTAGGTACAGAAGCCCAGGGACTTGTGTTCTGCACACAGTTTTTTTAAAAAAAGGAGTTTGTTAGGATTGGGAAGGACAGGGAGTAGACTTGCTTTTAATAGCCTGTGGCAGAAGCAAATAAGAGAAGAGCCAAACTCCATGGCCAGCGGTGGTGTGTTGCTGTGGTGGGGGTGGGCAGGTTGTATTTGCGGCTAACGGGACTGTCTTTCATACCAACATAAACCTCAGTCCAAAGCAAAGCTTGAGAATAGTTGTCCAAGGTGCCATCCTGAACTGATGCTGGAAGTGCCTCTGGTATAAATCAAAAGTAACCCTGAGCTGCTGGTTACAGTGGGGATGATGATCAGATTCATTTTTTTCTTTTTTTTTTTTGCATTTTGAACTTGTTGACTTTGAGACAATCAATAAGATTATTGTTTATTTTAGATGCACACCATTTGCCCTTAGACATGTTTTTAAGAGAGAAGAGGGTGCAAGAGGGGGAGAGCAAAGAAGACAGGGCTTTTCTCTCTATCTCTCCTTCTCTACCCCCCCTTTTATTTCCCCCTTTTCCTGGAGCTGTTGGAGCGAATGTGATTGCCAGATGGGAGATTTCCCTCTGTGATGTTAAAGCTGTAATATATATTCACAGCAGATTGGACCTGCTGCTTGTGATGAGGATATTACATTTATAAATTTTAAATCGGGAATTGGATAGTGTGCGGAGGGCTGAAATTGGATGGGGTAGATGGAGGCCACTGTTTAAATGCAATTCCTGGATGATGGTGGTGACGATGATAATAATTCTAATAGTGGTCACATACAGTAATCATGGCTCAATGACACTGCTTTGTATGTTGTGCAGCACATGTATACCTTATTTCCCCCCCCTCCTAATTTTTCAGATTGTGTTCAACTCAAAATTTCCTTTTTGAGTCTCTTAGAAGAGTGGCTTGGAAAGAGGTCCGTTCTTTTAGGGTGGGAGAGAGAGAAAGCACATGAGAGATGGAACAAGTGTAATCAATTTGGCATCTGAATTAAAAACAAAAGCAGAATAAAATGGGGATGCTGGGATGGTTGTCAGTGAATGTGCCTTGCTATTGTTTGGGTTTGTTTGGTGTTTTTTTTGTTTTTGTTTTTGCCCAGCATTGTTGTGGCCTGTCAGAGGCAGATCTGAAAACACTGGTGAGTAGGAGCGAGGAGTCGCATGCCCGGCAGTTCTGCTGGTGCAAGTGGAAAGTATGTTGTGGTCAGGAAATGAAAGTGACTGTGTCTCTTTTGAACAAGTCCTTTCCCCAGGTGAACATCTATTGAGCAGCCACTTGTCACCATGGTACACTGGGGAAAAAAAGATGGAAAAAGTTAGTGCTGAGTTGGAGAATCTGCCTTGAAATGACCTCCCCTCCCCTTGGTGGTTTTTTTAAAGATAAACTGAGGAACATAGAGTTGGTGCAGCTTGTGTTTTGCTTCACATCTACCTAGGAATGCCAAAGCCATGAGATCCTAGTTTTTACAGTTTTGACTCTGAGTTTCTTAACATCTATGGATGCATGTGCTAATTTCCCACCTAGATACTGATGGAGATGATTAGAGACAGCCTTCTCTAATAATTGCAGAGGAAAACATCCAAATGCAGAGTGTGTTTTAGCATTTGTAGTTCAGACTTTCTTTTCTTTCTCTCTTGTACGTCGCATCTTGAGACATGTGTATCATTTGGGAGACTTGATAGATTTTCCAGGTGGTGTTTGCAAAGTTTACTCCATGGAAGTGAATTCCAGTTTCCTGGCCCTGATAACTCTTCTGCATTCTGTTGTGTATTTGTTAGTACCTCTTGATCATGAAAATCCTTCCCCCTCTTTTTTCTTTTGGTGTTAATATTTATGGCATGAAATTGGCACTGCTTTGCACCAATCAAGAGACCCTTTTTGGAACAT